TGGTACATATAGTGGCTTCTTTTTAAATACTTAATAAAAAAAAATTAACAAACTCAAATTTTTTCGGTTTATGTATTATTGGTTGATTCGAAAGAGCAAAAGTAATTTTTCGAGCAAAATCGTTGCCCATTCCGAGCTGCTCCAAGGACCAAACTGAGATGCGATAACGAAGCGGATAATCTTGTGTTTTCAATTAGACCTTGTGAGCGGCTAATTCGAGGTCTTCGTGCTAAATTCGCATGAGGCTGGTGCGTGAAATTTTTTTGACGGTCTATGGTAAGTCGATGTTCCAGAACTGGGTCGCACACTCTCGTCTACGGCAGAAAAATTCTCGTCACCTCTCGCCACCGTACGACGGCGGGAACCGCGGCCAAAACTTCTTTTCTTTTTTTCCATTATTTCCCACCGTTGTTCAAACGTTCCGTGGAGATTCGATACAGACTTCCCAGTGGAAAAGAGCTGTCTTGGTCAAAATGACATATGATTAGAAAAAAATACCTATATAAGACCACCCTTTGTATTATATCACAGTGCCAGGGTCGTAAAGCAAATGATGAAGAAGACACATTTAATGGCGTATCAAGAACAGAAGTTTTTATGGCATCGAAATCCTCTCAAAATAAGCTTTCAGAAGAGTAATGACAGTTTTTTTATGAAAAACGACGCAGCCTAATGTACATATTGTCCATGTACAAGCCCGAGTGCAAGAAGATTGGAACACTGATATACAAAAATATGTACTTATATGTATATATGTATGTATGTATATGTATGCTCATACATATGTATGTATGTGGAATAACTTGTTTGGCTTGTCAGAGCAGTGTATCTGAAAGATCGTTTCGTTCGTATCTATAGAGACGCTGCTTACAAAAGCAAGAGTAAACGATCGTAGATGGCATCTGCTGGAGAGCATCACTGCCGCTTGCTGGAAATGTTTATATGTATAAATGTATGCACATTTATATGTAGATATATATATATATATATATATATATATATATTTTATGTGAGGGTTTCAAGTGCTATTTATTGTGTATGAGATGAAGCGGTGTCGAAGGATATCGGATGAATATGTAAATATCTAATACGCACTAACATATCGATGCATGTATGTATATATGTACATCGTCACCTGAAATCCAAAGGATGATGATTTGGGGAGTTGTACCTAATTCGATGAAATCCATCATATAAATCAAAAAGTTAATTTTGAATTTTTTATTAGTTATGACTTTTTCGTATTTGAATTTGCGCAAAGGGGTCAGATTCAAAAACCTTCGAGTTTTGGCAAGCCGTAAACAAAATTCTTAGATCTGTTGCAGTGTAGTGGCCAGTTAAGTTCGCCCCAAATTCTTTAACTGCACCCTTTTGAAAAATTCAGATCTTTTGACCATTCCAGGCAGGCTATCCAATAAGACTGGCGTCAAGATCGACGACGTAGTCTCAGAAACGAGTTCTTGAGTACTGAATAGATTCAGTCCCATCCTCATCTCAGCTACTACAATAATCTGTATAGGTAAGGCGCTCCAAATCTGGCGGTGTCCAGTGTTCTGTCAGTGAACTTCCGCAAGGAGTCATGTTTATCATATAGAAAATAATAGCTGCCCTAAGTTGTAAATAGAAAGGACTTAGTGGGAATCCTCAAGTCTAATCTCGGGCATTTAGCATAAGACTACCATAATCCGGTTACAAGTAAGCACGGATAGTGGAAAAGGCGCGAATCTCTACAACAAAGGCGACGTTTGATGCACATGATTTCGTAAATCTTGACTTATTTAGTGAAGGATACTGGAATAAGGCGTCAAATGCTATACCCTGTAGCATAACTAAGATGCATAGACTGAAAACATTGGAAATATATGATTGCCTCTTATCAAATAAAAGGTATATTCGCGCAATTAAATGCATTTGTACATATGTATTTGTGGTCCTCACAATCCGCCAAAAAATATAAGCAATCTAAGATATATGTACATATACATACATATGTATGCTTTGAAGCCATCTTCTTCTTGTCTCTCATCAGTGAACCAGAACACATTTTATAGAATGTATCCATGGATGTACAATAGGGTGGCCCAAAAACAGTAAAGTCGGAATTGTAATGCTCTTATCCTCTAGGATGGTTTATATCGAAAAAGTATACCCCTGTTTTTTTATTTTGAAATAAAAAAAATAATTAAAGGTCGCTCAAAGCGCTCAAAGTTTTCCATGTATTTTTATAAGGGAAAAATAAAACTTTGCGTAGAAATGGTATAGAATTCTTGAAAACCAATATTTTTCGATCGCAAAACTCTGGTTCTCTTCAGGAGACTTTCAATAATTGTTTAACCATTTTTTAATACTAACGATTTTTTGTTGGTCGCCCCATTGCATTTTTCGGGGGTTTTGTGGGTTTTTGGCGGACCTATAAATTATAGTTGCGATAAAAAAAAGGTTAAATAAACAATTGGGTATTATTAATGGGAATCTCTTGCAGATAAACAGAGTTTTCTGGTAGGAAAATATTAATTTTTAACTATTCCCTACCATTTCTACGAAAAGTTGTTTTTCCCTATATAAAATACATGGAAAACTTTGGGCTCTTTGAGCGACCTTCAAATATTTTTTGATTTCAAAATAAAAAAATAAGGACCTCCTTTTTTCGGTATAGAAAAATCCTAGGGGGTGCGAGCATAAAAATTCCTACTTAAATTTTTCACATGCATTTTTGGACCACCCTAATGTACATACATGCAAACATACATACTAAATTGACATGTGCGCATATGTAAGTACATACTCGATATATAGTACGAATGGATTTTCCTAGCAATTCGATTGCTGGTGGCGCTAAGCCAATAAGTCCGTGCGTTTTTTTTTTTGTTAACAAATTCTTGTAAGTTTGTTTGCAGGTAATGTTTCGATCTTTGTCTTCATGGAACTGCTGGCGCTTCAGGACAGAGTTTGTGTATGTTGGTGCATATGCATGTATGCACAATATGTATGTATGTATGCGCATTTTCAATGAGTCAGACATATACCCGTAGGATGCAGTGAATTCACATACCCTGCTGGGAAAACCAAGTGTACACTGATTATGACCACATTTTCATGAAACGAACGTATATTAGTAAAGTGCATAAGCACCAGTGGCTGCATTAGGAGGGCTGGCACTGTTTTATTATTTTATTTCAATTCGAAGGAAGATGAGGCACCGACTTCTAATGTCATTTCTCGCAGGTTGTGTGCGATTTGACGGTTACATGGACGCGTAGAAAATCGTTTTTACCTGTGCAGTTTTGGCCCTGAAGTTATCTGTGACTGATTGAAATTTTTAAAAACCAATTAGCACAGTTTGAAAGCAGTTAATAGCCGTGCAGCGATAAAAGGTTTGACTTTTTGGTCGTGTGAAAGTAAAATACATACAGACATAGACTGTGCCAAATAAAACGACAATTTTTTCCTTAGATCCTGTATGAAAATTTCTTTGCCGGTCACAAAAAAGAGTCGTGGCGAAATTGCAGCCTCCTATCTTCTTTTTTCAGTTAGCGCTCGTAAAAACATTAATTTTTAATGAAAATATTATTTTCACTTCTGGCTAAGTTGACGTGTTGAGTAGTCATGGACGATTTCTTACGTAATTTAAGTTATGAATAAAAATTATTATTTTTCAGATTACATATTTTGTTGTTATAAACTTAATAAAAAAATTTTACCACACAAATACACATTCCCACAGTAGTTCGAATTGTAAATCTAGCTGGACGAAAGTCAAAATTGTATTTATTTTTAAAATACTATATGATACTGTATGCTTTTTTTCAAAAAAAGTCTCGATTAATAATCGTAATTTTTTCATCGATATTTATGGCCTTATTCATAAAAAATTATGTAAAATGTATGAAAACGTCATTTTATAAAGCTATTTAAACCTACTTTATTTTTTATGAATAAGGCCATTAAAATACAAGTATCTCTTTAACTTTTATTTTGATCCGAAAAATTACAGTAAAATTCTATATTTTATTTTTGATTTTTAACCGACTTCTAAAAAAGAAGGAGGTTATCAATTCGTCGGAATATTTTTTTTATATATGTTACCGCATAACTTTGGACCAAGCCAACCGATTTTTATAATTCTTTTTTAAAGCNAATAAAAAATAATTTACCACACAAATACACAGTCCCACGGTAGTTGGAATCGTAAATCTAGCTGGCCGACAGTCAAAATTGTATTTGTTTTCTAATTACTATATGATACTGTTATGCTTTTTTTCAAAACAAAGTCTCGATTAATAATCGTTATTTTTTCATCGATATTTATGGCCTTATTCATAAAAAATAAAGTAGCTTTAAAAAAAGTTTATAAACTGAAAAATGTATGAAAACGTTATTTTATAAAGCTCTTTAAACCTACTTTATTTTTTATGAATAAGGCCATTAAAATACAAGTATCACTTTAACTTTTATTTTGATCGGAAAAATTACAACCAAATTTTATCTTTTATTTCTGATTTTTAACCGACTTCAAAAAAGGAGGAGGTTATCAATTCGTCGGAATATATTTTGTTTTTATATATGTTACCGCATAACTTTGGACCAAGTCAACCGATTTTTATAATTCTTTTTTAAAGGAAAGGTGTTACCTCACAGGTACTAATTACCTCACATACTAATTTGGTTTAAATCCGATCATTGGATCATGAATAAATTAACGATANAACCGATTTTTATAATTCTTTTTTAAAGCAAAGGTGTTACCTCACAGGTGGTCCCATACTAATTTGGTTTAAATCCGATCATTGGATCATGAATAAATTAACGATAATCTGAATTTTTTATTTGAGAATAGAAGTCGGTTTTGTTTCTTGCTTAAAAATTACTTGTTACTTATAAAAAAATAAACATTTCTAAAATAAACATATTTTTTGAATAACTTTCGGTTTTAGTCTTTTCTAGTGCCTTCTTTTGCCTTTTTTGCGATTTCTAGTACCTTTTCCTGCCTATTTCGTTATTTTATTTTAACTTTTTATAGGTTTTTAGGTTGATTATAAGAAATAATGATTGTTTTATCTTTTTCCGATGGCATAATGAGCGTTTTCTGATTTTTACTTTTTCGCTTTAGAGATAATAATTGTTCTTGAGTTTTTTTTTCTTTTAAAAATAATGGCTATTTATAAAGTTTAAAAGGCCATATAGATGCAACCAACGGAAATTTTNTACTAATTTGGTTTAAATCCGATCATTGGATCATGAATAAATTAACGATAATCTGAAATTTTTTTATGAGAATTGAAGTCGGTTTTGTTTCTTGCTTAAAAATTACTTGTTACTTGTACAAAAATAAACATTTGTAAAATAAATATATTTTTTGAAAACTTTCGGTTTTAGTCTTTTCTAGTGCCCTTCTTTTGCCTTTTTTGCGATTTCCAGTGCCTTTTCCTGCCTATTTCGTTATTTTATTTTGACTTTTTATAGGTTTTTAGGTTGATTATAAGAAATATTGATTGTTTCTGATTTTTACTTTTTCGCTTTAGAGATAATAATTGTTCTTGAGTTTTTTTTTTTCCTTTTAAAAATAATGGCTATTTATAAAGTTTAAAAGGCCATATAGATGCAACAAACGGAAATTTGCACCTGAAAAATTTTACTTATTCCTTTTATTAGGGCGCTACCTCTGAAAAGATAGTACGTGGAGTAATCATTTTTCTTAAGCGAAAAAATAAAACTAAAATATTACTTATTTTTAATTTTTATTGGTTAAACTTGAAAAACAAAAATCATTGTAGATTATAATACAAATACAAATGTGAGTAGACCAAAATCTCTTCACGACGCTTACAACATGTTGTTTGTTTTTTGTAACAATTTCAAAAATAATGATTATCAAAAAAAAAACAGATAAGTATGAAGTGTTACAATTTTTTAAATGTTTCGTCCGCCGTATTGGATCCGTCATTTTAAATTTTTGGTAAATGATTTTGGTAAATATCTTCAGATCCAAATCAGCGAACCGAAAATTCCTAAGATAAGAAGTAATATAAAAAGAGTAAATGCGCCCGGGCCACACTGGAGAAGTGAAACTATATACCTATACATTTTCTTAAGGTTATATTTAATCTTTTTCCTATCTAGATCCCTACCTCCACTCTTTCCATTCTAATTACGTTTATCTTTTCTGATTTCCTTTATCTTTACTCGTATCTTTATATCTATTGGTCTTGATTTTTTTATCTTTTATATCTTTGCTTTTAACCTTTGTCTTCATTTACATATTCACCTAGATGGTGTCAGGCACGATGACATGATAAGCAGGCCTATCATCAATTCCCTCGGAGATCCTGACGTTGTCACGTCGCGAAATCGCTATCAAGAATTCCGTCGTGATTACGAAATTCTCGAGTTATTTTACTGTGATATATTTTTTTTTAATTTAGAATTATTAAACCAAAACATAAAAACAAACACAACTCAAAGGCAGCAATAACTATGAATACGTCGGAATTGCTGATAGCATTTCTCCCGAATTCGTGACGGAAGATTTTTTCACGACGGGAGTGCACTCGGAATCTGTGATAGGCCTGAATCTATATTCTTTTCTTTATAATTACCTTTATTTCAATCATTCTTCTTCTATCTTCATCTTAATCCCTAGCAACCCTTCTCCTTACATTCAAAGGAAACTGACCACCATGCCGATGTCTAATTTTCAACTATAACTTTACTGGACAGATTTATATCTGTCGACGGACAGTCACTCCAGCATTTTTATGATGTTACAACAACAACAACTTGCAATATCCATTCTTAAATATTTCTACAAAAAGGCTTAAAGAGCTTACATACACACGTTTATCACGGCTGCCAAGATATGCAGGTCGATCTTCCACTCAACCGTCGAAACGAGCAAGCAGAGAAGTGGCGAGTCGGAGGCGGCTGTAGCTTTCACAAAAAGTCGTCTTATCAACTATTCACTAAATTAAAAAACCAATAAACAAAGTTGAATGTTGTGNATTTTTCTTAAGCGAAAAAATAAAACTAAAATATTACTTATTTTTAATTTATATTGGTGAAACTTTAAAAACAAATATCATTGTAGATTATCAGGCATGTTCTGCAAATCGTACGATTTCAGATCGGAGCGATTTACAAAATTTATTTCGGAGGATTTATAACAAAGAGGACAAATTTGGCACTAAATCGATATATATATAACGTAAATGATGTGTTTCTAGCAGATTCCATTTGAAACATTTAATAATTTGATCACAAATATAAAAAAAATACTTGCAAATCGCACCGATTTGAAATCGTACGATTCGCAGAAAATGCCTGTATAATACAAATACAGATGTGAGTATACCAAAATCTCTTCACGACGCTTACAACATGTTGTTTTTTTGTAACAATTTCAAAAATAATGATTATCAAAAAAAACAGATAATTATGAAGTGTTACAATTTTTTAAATGTTTCGTCCGGCGTATTGGATCCGTCATTTTGAATTTTTGGTAAATGATTTTCGATTCGTAATGAGAGACCTCGAAAACCCCCCAGTAATCTACCGATTTTTTGGTAAAAATCTTCAGATTCGTAATCAGCGAACCGAAAATTCCTAAGATAAGAAGTAATATAAAAGGAGTAAGTGTGCAAGAATTCCGTCGTGATTACGAAATTCTCCAGCAAATTCGAAAATCGTGAGAATGGTATCACTGATTTCAAATTATTTTACTGTGATTTATTTTATTTTAATTTAGAATTATTAAACCAAAACATAAAAACAAACAAAACTCAAAGGCAGCACTAACTATGAATACGTCGGAATTGCTGATAGCATTTCTCCCGAATTCGTGACGGAAGATTTTTTCACGACGGGAGTTCACTCGGAATTGTGATACGCCTAATTACCTTTATTTTAATCATTCTTCTTCTATCTTCATCTTAATCCCTAGCAACCGTTCTCTTTGCCTTCAAAGGAAACTGACCACCATGCCGATGACTAATTTTTAACTATAACTTGACTGGACAGATTTATATCTGTCGACGGACAGTCACTCCAGCATCTTTATGATGTTGCAACAACAACAAATTGCAATATCCATTCTTAAATATTTCTACAAAAAGGCTTAAAGAGTTTACATACACATGTTTATCACGGCTGCCAAGATATGCAGGTCGAACTTCCACTCCACCGTCGAAACGAGCAAGCAGAGAAGTGGCGAATCGGAGGCGGCTATAGCTTTCACAAAAAGTCGTCTTTTCAACTATTCACTAAATTGAAAACAATAAACAAAGTTGAATGTTGTGGCTTCAACCATTTCTAGCTGGAAAAACTTATAAATAAATCCGCTAATTACATAAATAACGAAATATCTACCTATAAATTAACCCAAGTTTCGTTTCCTATTCCTTACTACATAGCGACATCTCTGTGTGAGTTATATTGATTTCAATTCTACTTTTTGTTGATCTTCTTTCAACTTGCTGGCAACGCCACGGATTACATCTGCACTTGTGGCAACACTCCGNATTGTTTGGAAACGTCAAGAATTTTAAAAGTGACTCTCAGCGGTTCTACCTTACTATATTTTTATCATGGTTTCAACCATTTCTTGCTGGAAAAACTTATAAATAAATCAGCCAATTACATAAATAACGAAATATCTAGCTATAAATTAACACAAGTTTCGTTTCCTATTCCTTACTACATAGCGACATCTCTGTGTGACTTATATTGCTTTCAGTTCTACTTTTTGTTCATCTTCTTTCAACTTGCTGGCAACGTCACAGATTACTTCTGCACTTGTGGCAACACTCCATCAATTCTTTTCTCATTCGTTTCAATTCGCTCGACTGCCATGTTCGTAAATCGCGATTTAGTGAAGTTAGTCGCGTAAAATCTTTTAATTTTTTGTTTAAAAGGTAAATATCGCTAATTAAAACCTCTGATAAAATGTTTATTAAATGTTCGATGTGTGTGTATTAATTTAACCAATTGGCGTTGATTCCGAATCCATAAAAACAAAGTGAAAATCCTGAGGGAAAGAATTTTCACCTGAAATGACAGTGAAAAATCAGAAATCTCTACGTCGACAACGAGGTGTGTATGTGCTGGCGTGTGTATGTTTGTTGCTATGATTAAAGTACGATTAGTTTATTGCTGAAAAAAGTTAAATAATTTAAGATATAATTGAATTAACATGCAACATTGCGTTTGACAGTGGATGGAAAATATTTTTCTCCAAACATTCGTACATACATACGTATAATCGGTAGCTGAAGTGTATGCCGCCTTATATCTCTGCCCACCGCACAGCCCCACAATGGAGCTGGCAACAAAATTCCTGTTAAGCCCCTTTTGCGCGCGCCCAAAATTTTCTTGGCAATTGCCTATGAGTGGGAACGATTTTGGTTGGTCGATTCTCTTGACAGCGATAGTGGAAAAAGTAAGCGAAGCCAAAAAAAAATGTAGATGGGGAAACAATTGGAATTCGTGGTACAATACACCGCATTCGGTGCAATTCGCTGTGTATTGTAGTGTTTCGATTCATGGCTGTTTCATGATTTCCAATTCGAATGAGGGGCCAGATTATTGGACTCATTATTCCAAGTTCCAACTGTACTTTTTTCATTTCTGCACTTGTGGATACAATTTTTTGGTGCACAAATTTTTGTTTTTTTTTTTCCACGTCCTCGTCGAATACGAATGATGAGATCCCATTGCCCCAGCTGCAAGTGCATACTATGCATGTCCTTGACACTGGCCCACTTTTTAGTTTTATCTTGTTTGGTTAATGATTAGAAGTTTTTTCATACTTTCCATCGAATCTTGGCTTTTACCTGTTCTAAGTTGTGCAGCAGTAGCCGTCATCGATTCACCCCTTCTCTGCGCGTTATGTTTCGAGTTTCGGTCGCTTAAAGATGAAATTTGCATGTGCAAGCAATAACAAAGTTAGCTAGCAGTGATACGACGATAGCTAGTTTGGTTGCACCTCATTGAGTTCGTTCGATTCGCTACTCGCTAACTGTTGGCGGAATCGATGACGGCTAGTATATTGTTTAATATGTAGATTATAGTGTCATAATGCCACGGTGTGCGTTTAGCTAATAATAAGTACCTACATATGTATTTCGAACAAAATTGGGCGTATCGGTTATCTATATGTCAAGTGTAGAGACTGTCATACATACCCAGTGGGAAAAGTAGTAATGCATTCCACGCATGATAAATAATAATTCCAGGATTTTCGGGATTTGTAATTTGCACTGACGGCAATAATATGAACTACTTTTCTTGACTATATTTCGTTTTTATTTAATACGTATGTATAACAGTGATGGAAAAGTAGGCACAGTAGTGCAATTTTTGGCACTTTAATTTTCAGAGGTACTTTTGGCACAATCGTAAAATACATATATAAATTTACCATAAATTGCTAATACATAACAAAAAATTACATACCACATTATGCCGAATTTCCACTAGGCATTGAAATGGCAAAAAATGTATGCCATGTGGAAAAGAACTTTATGGCCATTCTTTTAACATAATGACACGATAATTTTTTAATGCCCAACATTGTCATTTGTCATTTTTGCCATTTAATGCCTAGTGGAAATCCAGAATTATAGATTAAAAATTACAAAAAAAACTAAAAAATTAAAATAAGCGCCGAGAGAAATATTTACAAACCGCTGAATTCTATTGTGAATTCGCAGTATGAAAAGTAAATTCTCGCAACAACAAGCTTTTAATTCAGAATTTTTAAAAAGATTCCAAGTTTGCAGTTTTATAGTCCTTTAAATAAAAGTGTAAGTTTTGCAATATCCCAATGATTTTTGATATTTTTTTTTTCTGACGGTGTCATACATTTTCATCCATTCAAAAATTTTCGAGCACATTTTATATGGAATAAAATGCATAAAATCAAAAACTTGGAATTTCCCTAAAAATTCAGAATTCAAAGTTTGTTGTTGCGAAAACCTGCTGAATTTTTATAATTTTTGTACAAAGTTTGCAATTCCGATTGTGTACATGTATTGTGTTTATTAAATTATGAAATAGACTTTTATATAAAATCAATAAAAAAATAATCAATGAAAAGAATCTGCGAAACTGGTCAAAATGTCTGACTGCCATTATTTCGCATATACATAGGTAGTTACATATGTACATATGCGTGTAAAGATTTTAGAATACGTAGCTATATTTCGGTGTATTTTCCCTCCGTAATTGGAATTCTGTGAAATTTTACTATGAATTTATGTATATGTAGTGTGTCTAAGGAATCCTTCGTAAAAGTGGTTTACTGTAAAAATTTATTTAAATAATAATTATTATATTACTTCGGTGTATTTTAAAAATATTATTTCTAAAAATATATTGTTCTTAAAACGCCTTAAAAGAAATTTAATTTTGTGGCACTTTCATCTTCTTTTCGGCACTATTTTAGAAGACCATTAGGCACATTTTGATATTTTGACTTTCCATCCCTGAGGTATATCATCGTGCAATAATAAATTTTACACACAAAGCCAATACATATATTCGCGAAAACATGGACCAAATATAGTTGCGTTTTTCACTCAGAGGAAATTCTGTAGAATTAAATAAGATTCAATTTTTTGTTGCTTTAAAATTTTATCCTTGAAATTTCGCAATATTGGTTTTTGAAAAAAATACATATATGTTTAGGACTTATATATACTCGATAACATCCTCGAATTTCGTCCATTTAACTTTATCAATTAAAAAATTACCGCACTTTATCAAGTAAAAAATTATCAGCGGGAAAACTTCCTCAAAATCGACACTGTCCCCCCAAAATTGTCGCCGTATATATACACTCCCCGCCACTTGAATAGCGCACTCTTTTGGTTTTCAGTGTTAACAGCTTTCCTTTTGTTTATATAACATGTATTCATTAATTTTGAATCAAAACTATAGCATATTCTATAACAAAAACCAATCTATTATTATAACAACAACCGTAAATCCGGATTGCACACTTTATGCAAATTTAAGAAAATCTCCAAAAAGTTTTTAAGTGGCAGCAGTTTATAAGTTAAGAATATTTTTCGAAAAATTTTTTTTTTGTCGCGCATTTTTTTCATTCAAAGTATGTTCGGCAAAAGTTTTATATGGAAGAAAATGAGTAGCACCGGGCACAAAAAAAAAAAAAATACAAAAAAATAAACAGTATTTTTCAGCAAATTGAAATTTTTCTAAAAATATTATTAACTTATACACTGCCTGTCACTTGAATATCGCATCCATTTGTTGATTTTTTTTATAATTTGTATAAAGTGCGAAAATTGGATTTACATGGTTTTTGTTGTAGACTGCTATTTTTTTTAAGCTAATGAGTATTAAATAAAAGGAAAAATGTCCATACTGAGAATCAAAAAAGTGCGCTTTTCAAGTGGCGGGTAGTGTACATACATATGTACATATGTGTATGTATGTATAATCGCGTGAGCAATAATTTGGGTTTATTTTATTGAATGAAAAGCTGTTGTGGCGGCTTTTGAGTACGCATATATACATAAGTATGTATGTATATAGTTTTGGCTGCGCCTGACTATGCGAAAACCTGTATTCAACTCAAAACGTTTATACGATGAGATATATAGCTTTGGAATGCATGGAATTTCAGTCTTTAAAGTGTATGTCTGTTTGTATGTAGTATGTGCACTGCGGGTAACACAAAAATTTTTAGCGCAGCCATCGCCACAATACACTTGCATCTTCGATCTCTAACCAGCAGCAGCAACAAGTAGCCTTCACAAAAGTTTATGAATATTTGAAGCTTGCTGTCACCNAGCAAAATGATACTATTGGACTCTAAAGGCTGTCGCGAATTCGTAAGAAGGCCAATCAACACAGCTTTTAATCCAAGGTACACCGTGAAGACCGTAAAACATGGAGGTGCTTCCATCATGGTCTGGGCATGCCTTTCATACTATGGTGTAGGTCCGATTTACAAAATTTATGGACCAATTTCTTTACATAGACATCTTTGAGGGAACTATACTTCCATATACCGAAGACAACATGGCGTATATTAACAAGATAACGACCCGAAACACACTAGCAAGCGGGTGAAGTCATGGTTTCGCCAGAAGAAAGTCAATGTAATGGAGGGGCCGGCACAATCGCTGGACCTTAATCCCAACGAAAATCTGTGGGGAGATGTCAAAAACGCAGTAAGAGTAGCTAACCCTAAAAACAGCGCAGAACTTTGGGAAAAAGTGTGCGAGGCCTGGTATGCTATACCCACTGCAAGGTGTCAAAAGTTGGTTGACTCCATGCAACGCAGATGTCACGCAGTTATCAAAAACGCTGGCCATGCCACAAAGTATTAAATGGACAACAAAATGAACGACTCACAACTGGAACTACCACTTTTATTTTAATAAATAGATGAATAAATACAGTGCTGCTATTTTCTGAACAACTTGAACTTCATATTTTGAACAATAACTGCACTGTAAAACTAGAATAGACAACTAGTTTTGTCTGTTATTACTCTTCTTTTACCTGCCTTGTATTTATCAATAAATTGTTTTTAATTGACATAAACTACACACGTTATTCGAGGTTTTTCAGTATAGGTAAAGCGCTGCTATTTTTGTGAACATAACTGTACTTATGCATATTCCAATGCATATATTTAACATGTAGGAGAATTGCTGATTGATTATTTAATAAAAAAAAAACAATAACAATTTAATTTCGTGATGAACAAGCAAATTTTTGCCGGCTGTGTTGAAGTTCAATGGAAAACGATTTTTTGTATAATAAAACTAATTTAAAATCACGTAAATTTTAGTATTCGTAATATTAATTATATTCTACCCTGCCCACCTTTACTTCATACACTTTGAAATATTTCTGCTTCAAGATTGTGTGCAATAAAAGTGTGAAGTGTATAAACTAAATGTGTTACTAAATGGTACTAAATCAGAGAAGCCATTCAATCGATTTAGGGTACTGTAAATTATTTTCACACATATACAGGTAAATAAGAGATTGTTATTATTGTGTAGCTGTTAAATGGTTATCGACGCGAGTACTACTTACCGTGTCCAGCAGCCAAG